GATTCATTTCTGGCTGATACCGATCCAAAGTCCAATGCCAATCCTGGTAGTTCGTTGGAGAAAGTGCGAGCGAAACAGCTGGTGGAGGAACTGAAAAGGATGAGAAATGCAAAGGAGAGGGACCTGGAAGCTGCAACTGCAATGGTGATTTCCCCTGCAGCGACGAATACGAGCACTGGTAACAATACAATTAAGGGTCGATCGGGCCAGCCTGTCAATAAGAGATTAGAGCGTGCCCAAGCTGCTGGTTAGGGCATTTGTATACACCACATAGTAATCTGTTGATATAATATGTTTGAGTCGTGAAGCTAGAAGCAAAGCTGCCACCAACTGAATACATTCAGGACTTGGACCCATTCAAACCCAGCCGCTTTACTAAATTTCTTCAAACCGCCTCTCTTTCACTAGAAACACTTGTCAATGCGCGTTATTGTTCAAGAATATCAAGCTGTCGCACAGTGGAGATGGAAGATCGAGGGTAAGGACAACGAGCAGACCAAAAATCCTGGAGACGACTGTCCTCTAAGTAAGTCGAGATTTACCACGAGTATGTTGCATGACCAATGATCCGAATGCTAATACCTTCCGGCGATCCATTATAGTTGTGGGAAAGTGTACCCATATATTTCATATGCACTGCATAGAGAAATGGATCAATACCCCAGGAAGCAACCGGCAATGCCCTATGGACAGACGACCATGGGGTGAGTAACATTCTAGTTGTCTAAAGTGGTTGCAATATGGAAATGAGCCAATCGTTGATATTTCTCCTTTAATAGTACCTACTGGCGCATCAGAAACGGCAGACACTTGATTGGTCCTCGCGTTCGTCCAGGGACACATTTTTCAGTTGCTCCCTACCATGTTTTCGCCTACCCGTATTTCCAGGTTACGACCTAACAAGTGTGTTGCTTTTCAATCATTTAAGCATGAAAAAGCAAGTCTCGGATATTCTCGAGCCAATTCGACCTCTTCATCCTCATCACCAGTCAAAGCCTCGCCAAAACTTGTGCAACAATTACGAAAACAGACGTCCTGCTCAATCTCAAAGGCCATTCAAGCCCTTTCATCTACCGGAAATGATTATGACAAGGCCATAGACTGGTTACAGAAGGACTTGGAAGCGACTGGTCAAAAGGTCGTAAACAAGCTGTCTGGCAGAATAGCAGGCAATGGGTTGATTGGCATATCTCCATTATCAAACGGAGGAGTAGATAGAGTTGGAAATGTTGGGATCCCTCTGAGGATAGGCATGGTCGAAGTCAATTGCGAAACCGACTTCGTAGCCAGGAGTGAAGTATTTGAAAAGCTATGCAGAGATCTCGCATGGTCAATCGGATTTTATGCCGAAGATTCTGCTTCCTCAAGAAAATACGCTCAAAATATCGATGTCAACTCGATTTTGGAGGCACCGATGCTCTCTGAACCGGCAATTGAAGAAACCAATAGCTCCTCCTCCAACTCGACATCGATAAGTGGTGCCATAACAAATGCCATGACTCGAGTTGGCGAAAAGATTACGCTCAGGCGAGCAGCGTGTATATCTGCCCAGCCACTTCTATTGGAATCGAAATTAGCCCTTTCCGCCGGAATGTACACCCATAACTCGACGACACCAAAAGGTGCAAGAGGAATGACTGGAACAGTAGGAGGCTCTATCCTTTTACAACTCAGGGCAAATAATTTGAGGCGGTTACTGCTGCCAGAAGGCGACGGTGGGGATTCC